TGCAAAAGTCTTGGGGGATCTAATCAATCACCACAATCAGGCTGCGACACCCAGACGAGGCCGTTTCTGCCCCACGTCTCTGCTGCTGAGTTGGTGTTTTTGTTTGTCGTTTCCCACTGAGCGGCGGGAGCTCAGAGCAGAAGTCGGGTCGGAGCTGAGTTAAGATGACGATGAACTCAGTGGAACCTCTAAGGTCCAGCGTTCGGCTGCAGAGACGTCACATTTTTAAAAAAAAAATCAGGTTAGATTCAAATGCAACTTTTAGAAAAATTACCGAAGTGAACGACGTCATCGACCGCAAGTGGAAACAAAGTGTGTTTGAACTGAAACAGGGGGAAAGTATCGAACCCCCTCCGTGTGGGTCCAGGTCCACACACTGTGACATGGAATTACAGCCGACAGTGGAGAGAGAACGACAGAACGGGAACGAATGACAGAACGGGAATGTGGAAAAAAATGTTTTGGTTTTTTTTACATCTATGAAAAATGATGAGGAAAAAAAAGCTTTAAGGCAACAAATAAATAGACAAATACAATTATGATTGTTTGTTTGAAATACAACAGTAAAAAATGCCATGAAATGAACTGAAATTCAGATCATCAAGTACTTTTGACTTGGCGATTGGTGCCTAAAATAAATAAAATATAAAAAAAGTTCCTGCTCATATTTTATCCCCATACATTTATAAACTGTGCTAATGGAACATTTTCGTCTGTTTTTCACAACCAAGTAACTTTTGAATAAACTCCTGTCCAGATGTTTGATCATCATGTTACTCCTGCCTAATCAGCCTAAATCAATAGAGAACTGCATTATTATTGACATCTAGTGTTGGCCAGACACAGACACGGAAGGTCAGTGAGTCGGACACAGACCACGGGATTGGGTTCGAGACCCCTGCCTTAATTAATGAAGTCCAGAGATTGTCACGGAAAATATATTGACCTTTCCTTAGGGCGGTTTACACAGAGTTTTTACAGTAACATGTAAAATACTCTGGTTAATGGTAAAAGTGTTTACCAATTCATAAAAAACAAAAAAACAAAAAACAAGAACACAGTAAACTATTTTTTTTCTTTAAATATACTCCATTTATCTCTTCACACTTTTGCCAGATGTGTGTTGTTTGTTTGTTTGTTTTTTGGCCTCATCAAAGTTCTAAAATCAACTTACATTTTGTGAAAGAAAAAAACTCAAATAGCGCGAGATCAAAGGCTGCTGCAAAGATTCAATTGTTTCAAGTGTTCAAATTTTTTCCATTCGATTTTGTTTTTGTTTTTTTCAGTTTTGAGGCTTTGAGAACCTGATCAAACAAAAATGGACGTCTGACATCATAAGATCGGACTTCATAACAACTCTTAGCGACTTGTTAGCCTTGTTTACGATTAACCCAACACTCATTTACCTCTGTCTTCTCGGCGAGTTGCCCCATTTGCCCCATTTGCTTCTTTTTGAACACAAATGAGTTTCCACACGACCGGAGGATGTGTCTCACACCTGCGGCTGCGGCCCCCCCATGGGGCAGTTGTTACAGGGGCAATAAACCATTCACTAGATTCCTTTTGGAAAACAATGGAGCTGCTTACCATCAATCACCCGCCACGTGGGATCAAAGGCACGGAGTGCCTCACACGGGCAACGGTGCATTCTTCTGACGCGTATTTGTTCAAACCGATGTCTGCCAATGATGGATGGAGTATTGTGTACTGTTAGATGTGTATTGGCAGAACGCGAGGAACTTCAAAAGACGGGGTGCGTTTGAACTTGGTCCAGTTAGACTGTGATCAGAGGGCAGCATAAAAAAATAAATAAAACAAGTTTCGACAGAGGCTTTTTTAAAGTTTATTTGGTGCAACGGGCTTTTAATAAATGACAAACAGAAACAACCTCGTTTTGATCGGACGCGATAGTTGATTCACGTCCTTCCCCTTTATTGTGGTGGAGTGTTTTTAATTAGTATAGATCTGCGTTCACGTGTTAGAAACGGTTAGTAGTTTAGTTCAAGTTTTCTCCAGGTTCTGTGTTCGAACGTTCAGAGTCACGTGAGTTCATTTTACTTTGCTCTGTTTTAATGCGTCATGTTTACGTAGTGCTTTTCACTAGCAGTGATGCTAATATCTGTACATTTGTATCGCACTACATTTTCTTTTCATTCACACCACGGAGTTTATTCATTGTCTTGTTACAGCTTTTTATTTTTATATTATGATAAATATTTTATTGTATTAAATTAGTAGTTTTTATATACAATTTAAATAATGTAAATTGTTGTAAATGTAAATGACAACAGCATGAAAGGCTTTTTGATTTCATTTCATTTCATCGTTGACGTCATTAATACTTTTACAAGAAGGTTCTCTATGCTAGCTGTTAGCAGTGTTATCTTAGCTTAGCTAAAAAAAAAAAATCCTCAACAACTTTTCCTGTTGCACATTAACCATATGATAAATTGAAGAGGATAAACAGTGGGTGAACAGAGACTAACTGACTGTGTGTCGTCAGTGTTCACAGTCAGAGCTGCGGAGCCGAGCACGTCTGGTATTTTGGCTTTAAAAAGCCCCTCATTTTTGTGGTCGTTCTTCTCAATAGCTGTAATACCAACCAGTGTATGTGTGTGTTTTTCTTTTCTTCCTTCATTCTTCTGCAGATTTAAGAGGATGAAGGAAACTCTCTCACCGTCCTTTATTTATTGGCCTTAAACCAGTTGTCGTCGGATCAGCTGTTTTTAATCTCCTTCGTTTCTCGACATCATACCTGAACGCAGAGCTAATCTGACCAGACCAACGGCCGTCACTAACAGACTCTAATTCTCCGATCTCCATTTGAAAGCACGGGGCTGTTTCCTCATTTGCAGGTTTAAAGACAAAGTGTGATCATTCATTTACACATTAAAGGGGGCGCTCATGGGTTCCCTCCTCAGGCTACAGCTTCCTGTTGACCAAGGTCATCATTTCACCGTCCACCGACGACACTTCCTGTTCTACAGTGAAGTGACAACCAGGCCCAGAAACATCGTTAAAATAAGAGTCGAGATGATGCTAACGCTAAGTGAACGGAAGAAAAAAAAAAAGAAAAGTCACTCAGACTGATGGAATGATGGACTGATACAAAACAAATCTGTTCTTCCAGAATTTTTTTTTATCCTTCAGGCCACAGTGGTTTTCAAACTATGGTACACGTACCTCCATGGGTACATGAGTACACCAGGGAATCTGATTTTTTTTTGATTGAGAAGATTAGCATGGCGCCGGTTCAAGAAAGACAAGTATTTTTTTAGCGTTTCCAGAGTGTAGCGGTTAGCACGCCTGCCCTGCGAGCTGCGAGCAAAGAGTCCTGGGTTCAATTCCAATAGGAACAACCGCGTCCCTAATGGCGCCTCCTGTGGCAGCCTGTGAGTTGCAACTGTGTACCAAATGGCGCCTCCTGTGGCAGCCTGTGTTGATTGTTAAGATTTAAACTGTAAATTTTCTCACTGTGGTATGAATAAGGGGCTTGATTATTATTATTATTATTATTATTATTATTATTATTATTATTATTATTGTTGTTGTTGTTGTTGTTGTTGTTATTGTTATATTATTATTACTATATATAGTATATGTCAGTAATACTGGTGGTACTCTGAGTGACGAATACTTTTGGAGGTGGTACACTGCGTAAAGTAAGAAACTAATACTGAATATTTAGACCAAAGATATAACAATAATTAATGTTATTGTGATTTGCAAACTTAATTCAACCATTTTTGAAATTCAAAAATATTGCGATAATATTGTATTATTGTTCCCAGGGTGATTTTGTAAAACTTTTAGTTCAGTTAAAATCAGATGAAAAAACATTCTGTAGAAGCTGCATTTACTCAGGTTTCTTTAGGAACTATAGGTGCTGGACTTCATTTCCCAGAATCCCCAGTGCGGCCCCGCCTCTCCTCACATACCTCCGCTGTACGCGTGCGTTGGCTCCACACAGCACAAGTTTTCCCACCAGGAGAGCGGAGTCACGGAGCACGGCACCAAAGTTTCTCCACGGGAATGGGCCACTTCCAGATGGAGGCTTCACTTCCAGACTTCACGGCCACGATCACCACAAACACTCGGGGTTGGATTTAAAAGGATCGTCAGAACCAACACAACCAGGATTTTCTTTATTGTTGGTTTTTGTTTTGTTTTTTTTTGTTTCTTCCCCTACATCACCTCTCTGTGGATTGTCTCTCCTGCGGCTGAAGGTTGATCCAAATCGGGGGGTTACTCTGCTGCTCCCGGCGAGGAAAAATGTGTTCCTCCGGTAGTTTGGTGAAGTTTTTCCTGCGTTTTCTGCTTGTTTTGACACTGCAGCGTGGATGTGGGGCCGACACGCGGACGTGCCCCGCTCCGTGCGCGTGTTTCGGGGAGCTCGTGGACTGCAGTCGCCTGAGAAGGGGCCACATTCCAGATCGGATCCCGGAGTGGACGGTGCAGCTGTGAGTCCCGTTTTTACTAACGAGTGTCCGTTTGACTCACCTCTGTCGTGGGTCATAGTGTGTTTCTGGTGTTTTTGTTTGTTTTTTTAAACTCCATGGAGTAAAGATGAACAAGTTCAGAGGATGAGACGAACCACATTCTTGTTGTAGAGAAAACGGGATTCGCTCAGTGGCGATCCTAGTGTGTTTGGCGCCCAGGGGCACCTCGACCCCCCCCCAAATGTTTTTGTTTATATACACTCATTTATGACACTGTAGCACACACACACGTAAATATATATATTCAATAACATATATAACTATAATATATAACAATATACTATTATAAATCAAATGGAAAAATAAAGAAAATAATTAAATTAAGACGTTTATAGACCTGTTCAAAACGCGTCACCATCACTATAAAAATAGATAAATAAAATTATTAATTTTTTTTTTTTAAAAAAAGGTTTGCTTTGAAAAGTCACTACTTTTCACCATGGTGTGCATTTTTAGTTTGTGGGTGACGATATGGGCCACTGCCCATGTCTCCCACATCAGACATTTCGACCGACTTGGTTGTAACAGCTGTACAGAAAGTTGTTCTGTCACTCATGGATGAGGAAAAAAAAAAAAAAGCAAACACTTACTTTGATTTGATTCAAGTTGGCACATCTGGATCAGTCAGCACACCCTACTGGAGGAGTCGTTGTCTGCGGCTCCTGACTGAAAAGTCACAAAAAGTAACATTAAATTACCTGGAAGTGAAATTCTTCATCACCAGACAATTCACATGAAAAAAAAAAATACTAGTCCAGTCCACTGTGTGTGTCACCTGGTTTACTGGTTGTACTAGTTGTACTGGTCCTGGTCCTGGTCCTGGTCAGCAGGGAAGCCCACTCAGGCCTTTCACTGTGTTTTTACACATCAATGTGCCTTTGTGAGACCCCCGAGCCACGGTGTTGATATGCAAACATTTTTTTTTTTAACAAATGCAGCTAACTCTAGTCGGCTAAAGTTGTGCTAACCTACATTTTATTGGGTAAAAATAAAGACAAAACACAGAGTTTCCTGTGAAGTTTTAAAGTTGTTGGGAAATGCAAGAAAAGGCATCTTTGGGGCAAAAAAAATAAAAAAAGTAAACCAAAGTAATGATGAGGCTAGTAATGTGGTAATTCACGGGGGCAAATTTAATTTAGTGATGGCGACATGATTAGTGGTTTGTGAGCTGTATTACCATAAAATGTCTCTTTGTTCTTACACGTCGAACTGAAGGCCACACATCGTGTTTAGAAAAGTTTGACTTCTTGTATTTGAATTCGCAGGAATTCCGAGGTCATTTTTGTTTTAGCTTTTAGATAAAAAAAAAAAAAAAAGGTCGTTCGACCTGGGAGCTCTTGAACCGCTAAAAGAAAAGAAAGTCAGTCAGTGTGCAGCATGTGGACGTTCTCCTTCACTAACATCTCCATGACTCCCCTGTTTGTCTCTTTGGGTTGAAACTAGAAGCCTGAGTTTGGCCAGAAGGCGGCTAGCGCTGACATACCAAACCCAGCTGTAATGGCATGTTCCTTCGGTGTGTTCTACTTTACAGATAATTATTGTTACTGGAGTTTTATTGCCGTACTTTAAGCAGCAGCACTTGATTTTTATTGTCTTGCGCCCCGGCTCGACTCGACTCGACTCGACTCAACCGTCCTAACGCTCCGGTCGAAGCTGCTGTTGAGTTGAGTTTTTCTCTTTCAAAAAAAAGCACTGCTCTGGAAACTCGGCACTGCCAACGAAAACAGACGAAGCCTGAGCCTCATAACCAAGGACAGCCTCCAAAAAAGTTCCATATGTGAGGGAAAAAATTCTTCTCACTCTGGCATGGTAATTTTTTACGAGTGGCTCTGCAGCACATCTTAAACTCCTCAAACCGCCCGGCCTTTGTTTTCCAGCACCCCATTATTTCTGCTGAATTAGCAGCCCCGCAGCCAGAGATGGTACTGATTAAGGAGGAGCGTGTAGGATTAGTTTGAAACAAAGTAGTGGAATGAAAAGTGGGAGGGAACTGAAGAGACGGAGCACAAAGACGCAGGATTAAGCCAGGAATACTGGGGGGAAAACGGCCTGGAAGATTCCAGACATTTTACTTCAGCTTGACACTAGTAAAAAAATGCTGATAAAATGTGTGAACGTAACTTAAATATTAAGAAAGAAAAATGTGATTTCCTCACATCTCTTCACTCATCACTGCAGAAGTAATACTCTATTACTTTCAAAGTATTAATTACCATGCAACGCCAAATCAAACCGTAAAAGTTGTTGTTGATGTTTTTCATATTTCATTCTCTCGTGAATTTACTTCACTATTAGTCACACCTTATACTTTAGCTACTGATAGCATTAGCTATCATGCTAAAACGTTTTGTCATCAAGTCAAACCCCCCCACAGTGATGACAGCTGCCGTGGCCCTAAGAGGAGGTCATTCACTCTCTTCTTGGTCTGTGATAAGAATGTGGTTCAGTGAACAGTTTTCACCACAGCAGCAGCAGTAACAGCAGCAGCAGTAACAGTAACAGCAGCAGCAGCAGCAGTAACAGCAGCCGCAGCCGGAAAAACC